TGACGTGACCGGTTTATTTGCTAGAGTGACCCCTCCAAAGGCAAAAGCTCATGGTCAAACGAATCAAGTCAACCGGCCTTGATCTTTTGGACACAAGCGGATTTCTAGCTGAGGCTACCCTGTATAGCATCCAAGGTCAAGGAGGCGGACAAGCATTTCAAGTTGAACTCTCGTATTGGTTAATCATGGTGATAACACGTAGGTTCTGAAACAGTCAGTCCCCAAACAGCGCGTTATGAACACAAAAGAGAATCTTTTGACAACCTAGAAATTCCGTTTAGGCTCAAAATTAGCATTATTTGAGACATTAAAATTGTAAGAAGTCTCAATTACACCTTAAACATGCAAGAACATACGCATGCGCTCATTCCAAAACGAGTAATTTCAATGTACACTTCTGTTGCAAAGTTATTGAAAAGTGTCATGCTTAATGAAGATAATTCACCATTTTGAAGGCAGAAACTGTTATTTCCATGAATATATAGCTGCCCACCTGAGCACGAGAAAGCTTTCTAATACAGATAGATTAGGAAAAGTACCACTTCAGTTGTGAAAGCTGATTTGGCACGTATTCCATCAATATTTCGCGCATAGTTTGGTTCACTGGTTCTCTTACTGTAGAAATTTTCCCATACAGTACCTCGGTTGTGTCATTACGAACAGAGCGGCGATACTCACCGAGCTGCGTATATGTAGACCGCTGCAAGTCAGTGCTTCTTTGTACGCATCGTTCACATTGGATAACTCAGCTCGCCAATCAGTGTCCCATTTTGTTTTTATTGCTACAACGTGACTTTGATGATTGCTCACGCGCCACAATAAAATAAAGTACAAAGTTAACCGTGAGTCATTTGGAATACTTTACAAAATCCTCAATCGATACAACTTCACTGGTGACCGCTTTCAGATGTCCGAACTTCTTGCTGTCTTCAATCCAACCCGCCTGTCTCTGTGTCACTGGCATGACTGCGGATCGATATTCACTTTGCCAAATTCGACTGGGTTTCCTAACCCATGCACACAAGCGTAGCAAACGATGCATGCATTGAGCTACTTTATTTTAGTCTCTTCTTTGGTGCGCAGCATCTTGACTACAATGATTTAGCGGCGTTGTGTGCGATAAACCGTTTTCTTTCACGTGCGAACACACGCCGGCTTTTGTTCATTTGGTGTGAATTTGGACGTGTCCTATTCATGGCACGGTGATGATATTTTTCACTGATATCTTTAAGAAGTGTACTTGATTTATTTCCGGTGGAATGGCATTCTGGGGTAATTTTAGGAAATGAGAAAAAGTCAACCACATTGTGATGCATTGCAGCTTCTGGGCAACCNCCAATCAGAAACCGTGCGGTTTAAACAGGAGCCTTGTGGTTCGGAAAACGAAAACGGTATTTGGTCAATGTACATTTGCCCAATGGTCTTTTGATTCATCCATCATTTATTCTCGTAGATTTCCTCAATGAACTAATCACTACTTCTGTGACTTTTCTGTCTGAGTGACGGGGCGATGTCAACCTTCTATTCCTAGTGCGATTCTGTGCTTCACTTGCGACCGTGATTCGTGATCCGTATTCCACACAAACTTCGTTTACAACAGGTTTCCATTTATTTCTCCAATAGTGCATGAGGATGGAAGCGGGTGAAACACTAGAGCTTTAAACACAATTCACCTCCGCATTCAGCTAACTCGTCACAACTAACAAGATGAACGTATCGAGTTTCTAGATATAAACATTACTCATCTACCAGATGGATCAATAATATATCTAACGTCCAAAAGAACACCTGGTTTGGACAATACTTGCATTTCACAAACTTCGCACCCATGCGATAGAAAATTGGTCTCGTTTGCACACCATTTCATCGAGTTCATAGAATATGTACAGGGGACTCCTTACACAATGGAAGTGCCTTCTTAAAAGAAGTACTACACGCAAATTGATATCCCTTTGGATTCATCTCCAAACACAGTAAAGTAAAACCAAAAGTAGAAAATCAAATAACTGTTTTCAAAATGAAAACTTTTTTGAAGTTAGTACACAATGGCGATGACGTGAGTGAACTAGTCAGCAAGCGATTGAACTCAGCCAACCAGCGCAGTTGACCCAGTCATTGTCTTGATTATCATCCGGATATCAACGGCATCAGTGCAAAAACCATTGACCACCCCGCCAGATCAAATTATATTTAACAATTCAACTGTGAATGATCGTCTATCTACATAGGCCGAACAGAGAGGCAGGTATGCCACCGAATGGTCGACCATATTCGGGTGTGGCTTAAGAAGGCGATGGACGACAAGTTGGTAAACGTGACGTCATCCAATGATCAGAAAAGACTAAGACCTTCGATACCACAAAATTCATTCGAACAAAAGCATTGCGGTAGTCCAGCCTACGCATTCCAAGTCAGCTACAATACAAAAAAACAAAGTTATTGCAGTTTTTTATTGTTGTTTGACAGCTTGAAGCCCTACGTTGAAATTGTGAAAAGGTCATTAGCTTTGATGGGATTTGAACCTGCGCACTTCTGCCGCCTACGCTTTTGTACAGCGAACGCCCTACCAGCTGAGGAACGAGGCCACACCGATAGCACTGGCATTTTCACTGGAATTAACCGAGGCACTATCCCGAACCATTCAAACAACGTGAATTGTTCGTCACATTAGCTCTACCTTAGTGATTGACTCCTACACTCTCTCAATTTTGTGTTGTTGTGTCGTGTTTTCAGTTGTGATTAGCGATCCTGTCTTCTTTGTATCTCAATTATTATCTCACTGAATACTAAAGAAATCCCATTGACTGCATTATGCACGTGTACAAATGAAGAGAAGTTACCATGAACACATTACGAAAACCCATGTTTCTGACTTTTCTAATTTGTAACGGGAAAAAACAGTGTTTTCAAATGTATCATTGACAGATTGTAGTTTACAAAAATGTGAAGACGGAAGCTATGATCAAAACCACCCAAGTATTGCTTATTGCTTATTCTTATATCAAAATTCAATCCCCATTTTATTGATCATGCAGGATATTTTATAATATCTAGATAATCGCAGGAAATAACATTTTGTTTATCTCAATTTTGGACGTATTGATTAGGTGGTTGTGGTCAACCGGCAAAGATCACCAAATTATCATTCTGGAGGACGAGTGTTCAAATCCCACTACCACCATCTGACTTGCCCGATTCTGTGTGTTGAATGGCAGCCCTATGGTTGACCGTCTCCCCTTTCCTGAAAACTGTCGTTATATATTCAATAGAAAGAAGTAAAATGAAAAGTGAAAAGGGAGGAAATGGTGGCAAGGGTAAGGGTAAGGGTTTCGTTGAGTATATATTTTAATTACTGCAGCTGTGCACACAGTTAGTTCACTTTAAGCAGCGGACCCATGATTGAAGCAGTATGAAAACAATTTCCAGCTTTTTGGCATACCGTGAACGCCCAAGTGAGAAGCATACTGATATGTCCTGGGTCAAAAATTCCGCAAATGAACAAGGATGCGGTGGTCAATTGGTATAGATTACCGTAACAGCGCCCCATATGTTTCACGCTTGAACCCCGTCGTCTAAATTCCCCTCTCTCTTGGTACCACGTGCCTGCTCTCTGACAGGCCATATTCGTACAATTGTGTATCCAATAAAAAAGAAGCACAACTGGAATAGTAACTTGAGTCGAACTCAGCACACTTAGGATACAGGCTGAAAATAACATTCAGTCGCGTCACAACTTTTGACCTTTCTGGTCTCAAAAAGCGGACGTATTAACCATACATGTTTGCACTGTAACACTATGTATTGAATGACTAAGTAATGTACTGGGACGCAAAATTTATATGCACCGGTCAAGAAGGCTTTATTTGTGTATGTGAAAACGGATTGTTCCCCTTTAAACATATTCCGCTCAGATAAAACAAGAAAAAACAGGGCTCCTGTTTCATCACACTATGTTCACGTCGGTTCCAACTTGTTTTATTTTTATCTCCTTATCTATATAGAGTAGCTGACTGAACACGTACTGACCATCTTTAACCATTTACTTCTGCTCTGTTCAATACAACAAATTATCACGAGAGATGGGAGGAGTTGACGGGTCCAAAAAAAACCAACTAGATAGATGTTGAGGAGGGGGTATTCGGGCTACCCGAGACTTTCCTGAATGCGAACCCAAAAGCAACTCAGGAGCAATTAAAAACCAGAAAGAAACTCTAAGACCCTACGTGACGGGTATGTAAAAGCCACGACACGAGCGCTTCGTCCCCGTCCCTAATGTGGACCGATGCTTCATTACTTTGTTCATTGTACTTTTGAATCGGAGTTTCGGATTAGGGAACAAAGACATAATACTCTTCATCAACGGGAGATATCCATAAGCACACCGTACTCTAAAGTCTCATTCAAAAAACCCTTTGCCTCACTTATCCAGTTCTTCCTTTCATTCTCAAAAACACGATATAGACTCCTGTTTCTGTCATTCAGGGTACATTACGCAGAGGTAGACTAGGATCTGAATCGGCTAGCTTTTACTACTCATTACTTACAGTTCATCAGTTGTTGGTTATAATAGCTTGATTGTTCTTGTCCGCTTACTCGATCTGCTTTATGTTTGGTAGCTAATCAACTTTGTATTGTGAGCTATTCGTTAATAATATTCGAAATTTATCAAACCTTTGCCATGGCTGTACTTCTATGGACTTTCATGATATCGCTGACCAGTCATTCGGTGGCATTACACAAACCCCATTCATTGCTCTTCACCGAATAATTAAATACAATGCAGTTGTCGAATAAATAGTAATGAAAGTAAATTATCATATGCCAAACAGCCAAAATGATGACAATGGTTTGTCTACTTGAATAGTTGTCTCTGATGAAGCAATGTGAAACACCAGCTTGACTCATGTTTGAAAGTAGTCAAGCAGGGGCGAAAAAATCTGGGATGAATGAGATAAAGTATCCAACTCGTTTGGTGATTCGTGTTCGTGTGAGTAGCACGGTTATCGCAGTAGGGGTGCTTCAACCACAAGCGTTCTTTCAATCAATTCACTACGAATCGAAATGGGATCCACGGCTTCGGGAAGTGGGTAGGATCGACGAAACTCTTTCGTATACGTCCCTTTTGTAGCGCTTTCGAACACCTCCTGTCGTCCGGTTATCACCAGCTCGTTGTTTTCCACGCGGACTCGAACATGATCGGCTGTGAAACCCGGTTCCACGGGAACTTCAACGTGTATTTTTCGAAATCCTCCAGATTCGTTTTGCACAGTCAAGCCGGGTTTGTCTTTGTGCGTTAAAAATGAGGAAAACAAAAACAGGAAGTATTCGGTCAAGGAAGACAAAAAAAATAAAATAAATTGAGAAAGCTTTTCTCCATTTTCATAAACTCGGACGCACGTGTACTGTGAAGACACTTCAACTGCTGGATAGCTTTTTCACCGATGTATGATCAAAAATATCTCTAGTTCACGATGTAAGCCACTATGAACCTTGATTTGTCTAACATCTGCTGTTAAGGTCAGTGTAAGTTGACCTGTCCCCTCCACAGCCCAAAAATAGTTAATCTCAAGTAAACAGCATTTAGTTGCATAAGAAAGAGTAATTTACCATGCAGATTTTATTCACCTTAGGTTTCGAATTTCATAAGAATGCCTGTAAACTGCAGCTGTTAGGTGGCACGCATATATTGTTGTTCATCTCGTAATTCCCATTAGTGAAACGTGCTCATGTAAATAATTTGTTGTCTACAGGTTTGTTCACCATAGAATGACGTAAGTAGACGTCAGGACATAAACTGGCTGAGTGTTTACCGTCTTTTCAATTTGGATGAACTCAGCCCTCACTGGAATGGAAAGTATAGCAGATAACGTTTATTCTGACGTATACAAAGCATGAAACTCGGTACTCTTTTCATTCAGGTCAAGAAAGTGCCCATTCATATTCCGTTGGTGATTGATCCACCAAAGGAACTGGAGAGACAAATAAATGCACTACGAGTGCAGAGTTAACTTGATGCTGTGGGTGCACATGCGATCCGGGTGAAGCACATTAAAACGGGTGAGATGAGAAACTACCAACGCATTTTATACTTCTGCGCGTGCTTGGGGGTGAAAAGAATTGAAATACATTTAGATGATACGGGATCAAAAGTATGACAGACTGAATAATCCTCATATCCATCAGTAGATCGAATTATTTGCTTCTTTGATTAGTATCTTGTTCAACTCTCTCAGTTATACTCATCATGACTTTCAGGTTGTAGTATTGTGCCCCCCCCCCGATCTACGTTCTTTCTTCAAAGCCTCAGTCGGATGCTCCAGATTTTTAGTTTCCTTCTCTGTCGGATCGGATTGAGATTTGATAAACCGGACCACTAGGTCGAGCAATTCGATGCTTCGGTGTGGTTTGTGAACTGCTGCGCAATCCACAAGCAATTTGACCGGAGGTTGTCGTCCTTCCTGTATGATCTATATTTTTAAACCGGAAATCTAGGGGGAAGGGGCAGAGGTTGTTCAGAGCCACTCAATAACTGGTACCAGTTTAGTGGGGGTACCATTTGCATTCTATATGAGTAGTATTTTTGGCGCGCCAATGAGAAGCCGTTTGGCGCTTCTCACGATATTCAACAATGAAAAAACCACATCCCGGAGTACATCAAATATTGTGGTTATAGAAGATTCGAACAAAACAACATTGGACTATTTGTCTAATGATCCAGAGTGCTTCATGGAAACGCATCATGCTCTGGTTTATGTTACGCCCATATCGCTCTTCATATAAACCTAATTGCCCGGTTAGGCACTGGTTTAGGTAGTTCTAAGGGCAGCAGAAGCTGTTCGCTGTCCTGTGAACAAAGTTAATGTGCTTGGATTCTAGATATTAGCAGTGTGATACACTGATCAGAAATTTTAATAGTGACACTTTATTTGGAATATGATAATTATCGTCTGATAATATTTGCAGCTACTTCAAATGTATACATATGAAAAATCAAGATGAGCGATAAAAATCGTGTTTTGTAAACTTCCTATTAAAATAAACCTGGAGACACTTTGCACGAAACAAGTGTATCGAAAGTTCGCTAGATCAAACCACTCGAACTGGCAAAACAATCAGGTTTCTAACCGAACACGAAACTCATCAAGTGGTGACCTCGCCCGGGAAGCAGGTAGCTAGCCCCCGCAAATGCATTTAACGAAACCGTTCAGCATAGCAGAAACCCATGCGACTTAATTCAGCAATACCATTGGCATTTAACATTTTCGGAGAAGTTATAAACTTTCTCGGCATCTTTGCAGAAAGTAAACGTCAAAATTAATAGAATTGTATCGTATTTGAATCAAAGTTTTTCTACGTTAAAGAGCTATTTATGAGGATACCTGAGAAAATCTGCTGTAGCAATATTCTCCTGCACCCAAATTATAAAACACTAGTAGAGATCGAAAGGCTATAAGTCCAGGATGAATATTTCTGACATTTATATGGCTTCATACTGTTTTCTATCATACAAAACACGAGGTCGTCGTAGTACAAAAATTAGACAAGCAAAATATCAATCATCAATTCCCTTTTTTGTAAGACGCCAGTATTCGTTCGTTGAAGAAAGTTGATATCACCATTTCGGTCCCAGTTCATCGGCTTTTTGGTTTGGGAGGGACGAAATCAAAATATTTCAAAAGTCAAATCGAATTACATCCACGCGGGTAGAGTGAGCATTTTAGGTCGACAGCAAACGCACAACCCTGGTTTGTTTTGCGTTCATTTTTACGATCACATCTGAACGGAATCGGATTCTGCATCGATCGCAATTATATCAGACGCGATCAACACCGAATTGGAGTCAAAGCAAAAATATTTTTATTCGCTTGTTTCTCTTCTCCGATCAACTCAGCCGAATCAAAGCTTATCGTATTTAGCTTCCCCATTACTGTGTACACTAGGCTGCCTACATTCCACACAGTGAATCATGTAGGATATACCGCTTAATGTGAAGTTAATAAACACGGCGTGGGTTGGAATGCAAACAGTCGAAGAAAATCAATACACACGCAGAAAGGGTTGCGCGATCGAAACGATGGGATCTTACTTTGTACATGCAGAACCGATGATCGTGCTGTGTACGGAGCAACAGTTTTCACATTGGCTTCACTGGGTTTCGGTTTGATGGCCAATTGTCGACCTTTGTTAAAAGTTATACTTTGGTAATCGGCCTCTCGAACAGGCGCATCCAATACAAGAACTCCATCCTGGAGAACAAATAACACAGTTACATTGTGAATGGTCAATAGAAATAGGGCAAGTAAGACATTGTTTTTCTTCTTTTTCGCTCAAAAGTTGTTTCACGAGAGTATGGGAGGATTTAATTCAATTATTAAAGGAGCTCGTCATTTATAAAGAAAATGAAGTGTGAAATGAAAAGCTGAGAAGCCCTGTACCTGATTGGGTCTCATCAACAGTGCGAACCCATTTACCCAACTGGAGAAATAAAGGGAGATCCAATCAGATCGAAACAGCTGTACAGTACGTCTTACCTTACGGTTCATGTTTCTCTTGCTCACCAGTCCCCCCCCTCCTTATCAGTAAACAAATCACCCAGTCTGATCAAGTTGGATATGATGATAAATTAGTTTGGCAAAATCAGTCAGAATTTATTTGGTTGCTCTAAATGGTGATGAGTGGTATCATCGTCACACTAAATTCGATTAGGGTGGTTTGACTTCGAAGAAAATGCGGGCAAACATTTCGAACATTTCGTTTTCCATTTCCACGAAACTGGATGGATCACAATTGAGAGATCTAAACAACTGTCTGAGAGATTTTGCGTGATCTCCCGATTTGTGACCGACGTTCTGTGCATCTGTGCTTTTGAACAGATGAATTAATTTGCCAATTGCCCACGGAAGACAAAAATGATTGCTAATTTCTTGATGCGGCTCCCCTGAACCCCAGACACCAGACAACCTTCACTTCATCACGTGACCTCTAGAGGTCAGATAAACATGTGGGCTGTTGGACTACAAAGTACACATCCATCATTTGACCTTCATAAGAAATTTCANGCTGACTGTGCAACGATGCTTGGTTATCACCTTGACTTGAGAATGAAACGGCGTGGTTGAACCGATGTGCGTTCAGAGCACCTCGTTGGTCGAATGGTCACTCGTCCCCCCCCTCCTGACTGATCACCTGTCTTCCCACGCTCTTGCTGTCTTGCATCTTGCTGAGCTCGCTGATAGAATTTGATCGGTTTGCGCGAAACACCTAAGTTGACTTCAACTCGATAAACAGAAATCTTGACGCACTGTTTACTGCGAGATACAGCTACGTCAAGGCTGTTTTTGGCTGTTCGGACGATAGCTCAATAAACTGAAGTATTTTGAACTGACGGTTTGTAGGATTGGCACCACTTCTCTACAGAGGAGCTTTCCGCCAAATGGACCAAAGTGAGCGCCTTCCGTCATTCCACTTGTAACAAAATACCGCGTTGTGCTCTTGTGAGAAACAGCAGGACGGTAGATGTGTTTATAGGAAACAGAAAGTCACAGGTGGTCACGTGGTTGACCTTGCTGAATTACCTCGCGGACCGCAGAAGCGTAAAGTCACAGTCATCCCCAGTAGAGTCCTTAAGGCGTTTTAGCACTTAAATATGACATATTTAGTAATCATCCGACAAATCTCAGCACTTGTGAGATGAGTGCGGCGGGATATAGGCAAGAGACTTCAAGAGGTGGTTTGTGCTGTCTCGTGCATAAAGAAAATAAAAAGGGTTTGATCAGCTGAGGTTAATGGGGTAGTGTTCTTGCGTTCTGCCTGTGGGATCCCACGTTCGATCCGCAGGTGGGACGATGGATTCGTACTACTGATGAGACAGACAGACAGAAAGGAAGTGGCGTACAGGACTTGCACAATGAAATTCACGACATTACCCAGTCAGACCCTTCACTACACTCATTTAGTGTCACATGCACATTTTGCGACAAGGTTTATGGACGTTTACTCATTCCAGATTTTCATACTCGCCATCACTCTTTATCTCGGGAAGAACACACGATCTGATCCGTCTGGGTTCAAACTGAGTTTAACAGGTAGCTCGCATCATCACGTGATCTACACGTTCTGCATCTGACCGGATTACTGGTGTGAAACATGCGACTGCGCTGACCTTGAGCTGGTTCACGTGCTCGTCGTATGTGAAGGTCTGTGAATATTCTAGGCCGAGATAATCAACAGACGGAACCAAACAGCCCGATGAGATGGAAATCGCAAATACGTTCTATAACACTACTGTGGTATATACCCACACGCGTCCATTTCCTAGCTATTAGTAAAAACATCAAAGAGTAGGTTTGATCGATCCATGAAATCCAGCCCCTTCGTTTCAACCGAACACATTGTAAGATGTATGACGTTGAAAAATGTGCTTTTATGTTATTGTATTAACAGTGCTATACTCTGTTTCATTGGTTCTTTTTAGAGAAGATAGGATGCACACGTACACTGAAATGTTGAGAACGATAGATTATTTATTATATTATTTTCGCCTGTTCGCAGCGCTGGCTTAAATTGTTCAGAAAATTTCCATTTTATTGTATTTTTTTCAATTGTGTGAACCGGCTTAAGCTTGGCTTTACATCAGTGAGTAGAATAACAAAGGCAGACCGGAATGACAAATACAATTTTCAATACCCAAATTATTTAAAATAGCTGGGTTGGTTGAACAGTCTCTCAAAACCTTGCGCCCTGTCGCGAGAAATATGTGCTAAGGGGGAAATGATAAAAGCCTTGTAAAAAGCGTTTTCAAGGTGGTGAGAGATGATACGCTGATCAAATGGATGTATAGAAGCAATATTCTGAAAAGATGAATGGGGTCAAAAGGAACGGTACCAGTAGAGGGCACACTGGATTGATATGAGTCTCATACTGACTTAGAATTGCGTAAACGTGGTTTATGATAGCTATTCCATAACAAAATAGCTAAAACTCGTCCGTGAAGTGAGCGTTTAGTGCTTGTGAGGAGGGGGGGGGGTGCTGATTGTCCGTTTACGTTGCTTTGTGATTTAATTCCTTATTTCTATAGGTGAAATCCTTGCTCACAGTTGGGCTATCAAAATACAGTTTAATTTTGTCATTATCGATATTCTTTTCCTTCTTTTTTAAGTCACCGTGTGACTTCTCTTTTGTTTCACCATCTGATCATCGAGTCACTCCGGTAGATACACGTAACCTTACTCTGTGTATGTGTATGTATGTATGTATGTATGTATGTGTTTCTTGCATTGTTCGAAGAGAGCCACGCCTCGAAAAATTCTCTGGTTTGTTTTGACCGTGAGTGACCAACATTTCACACTTATCAGATTGGTGTTCTTGTGCGCGATATCACGTCAAGGCGACCCGTGAGTCCACGTATTCTCCGTGCATCATGCTGTCACTCTATTTAGTACGCCGAAATTCCAAACGCTTCTGATGCACCCAGCTTAGTCACAGGATTTCCACTACAACTGACCAAATCAAAATGTAACTTTGAATATTAGGTATTACTCGTTAAACGAATGTTACGCGTTTTTGAGGCCAGTGAACACGGCTACTAAAAATATTGCATTTCAAGAAAATAACCGGTTGTTACGTATCAATTGAAACAAAATCTTTGTTTATTGTTGATAAAATTCTCCTTTCCCTAACAATGGCTTAAGCCTGTTTGTCATTTGTTTGGAAAACTGATATCCGTCAGGACTACAAAAAGATTTCCCATGAAATTTTAATTTTCGGTGGGACGATTAATCCAGCATTCGAATGTTATCACTCGAGAACCACAAGTTCGTTAGATAAGCGCTGTAAACGGGTGCATTTTCGTGTTGAAAACTTGAAATTGTGAATTTCGACCAAGTAGATATGTCATCAAAGAGTAGTTGTCTTAAAAACATTTTCCAAATACGTTAGAACATTTTGTGTAATATTCTGCGTTGCATTTGATTAAAGTCAAATCCTCTTGTGAATTCACTGAGTGAGCGTTCTGCATGACAAGTGTTCAAAATTGCGATGTTCTCGGTAAAGTAGAGGTGGAGATACACGTGAATGCTGTACGACAAATGAGGAGTCGTATAAGAGTTTCTAGGGGTATAATTGATCGATCAACTACAGTATATGTACATGTCTGTCCTCCACTTACCTGATTACGGGTGGATGAGACAGCAAGCTGCTCCGTTCAGTTGTAACGTTCATCCACTCACCAAAGAGACTTAAGTTTGTTTCAGCTGTGCAAATACAAGCGTGTTTCTTCACCCCTACACCTACTTCTGANCTTCTGAAAATAGGTTCGACTTTCATGGATTAGAGTGAATGAGAATGGGCCGGATATTCTGATCACTAACGATTATTTACCAATCGATGATGGCAAGATTCTTCCCATTCACCTGACCATGTGGTTCGGAGAGCCCTCAAAGTTCTGCCTTGACTTCAAAAGGGTTTCTCGCGATCGGTTCGTGGACAATTTGGATTTCGGTTTGTTCTAACAGTCAATTTGAGATTTCAGAAACGCCCTGGCGCGAGCTGTTTATTTTCCATGACTCTGGTAATACTTGCTTGCACATTACCACTAGATTTATTCCCTAAATTTTGTTGGATGCATGCAATGATGGAATCAGTGTGAAACACTCCAACATGAAATAATAGCTCTAGGCCAATTTCGTGTGCTTCACGCAAGCGATGCTCGCGCAAGAACCAGGCTAGTCTTAGACCTGATGGAGGTTGTTCCGATCACATTTTTACTCTTTTTCAAATTTTGGAACGCAGACATTTTCTTTGTAGAACTTCAATATCTGTCGTCCTCTATCTGAAAACTGCGTTCGACTCACTAAACCACTCAATACTCTGGTACTGCCTTTCCCGAGACGTTTACTCCATTATAGGATCTCTTTATCCTAATAATCGAAGCCAAGTCTAATCTTACAGCACTTTCACATTCAAGTACACCTCGGAAGATGGTGTTTCTCAGGGTTGCCCTAAATCTCTCCCTTTCTATCCAACTTTTGATTAGATCCACTTCTTGAAACTATCCTGTCCTCGTGCTAGAATCCATATGCTTCCAAGTGAAAAGCTGTTTGATCAGGAGTATGCGGGTGATATTACACTGCTTATTGAAGTTGAAAGCATTTCTGGATAGCTTGAGTTCTAATGTATCCGTGTTTGGCATGCGTTCCGCACCTTTTAAGTGCAAAATGTTGCTATAACACCGGGTTGGTTCAGCTCCTAACCTCACTCTGACTGGGGCAGTAATAACGAGTGGATAGATTTTGCTATCTGAGGAGCTAAATTTCCCCTGGCGGACTCATTAGGAATAAAGTTTCGGCAAGCGCACAGGGGGCTAGATTGGCATTTGTAAAATTGAGAAACCTGTGGCAACGTCCCGACATCCCGTTTTCTGTCAAGGTTCGAGGGTACGCAAGAGCAGTTTGACCAGTACTGCTACACGGCTACATGGCGATTACGAAAGTGGGATAGAATGTCGGTGTTCGAACACAGCTGTCTACGCCACATTGTACGAGCC